TTCTCGCTTTCTGTCTCTATGTCTCTGTCTGTCTGGCTAGCGCACGCGCCCTATAGCGAAAATCTCTCCAAAAAACAAACAAAAATTCCAATGTATTAATGAAAACCTAATTTCATAATAAATTACAAAAAGATGATGAGACATAGAATGAGTTTGGGAGGGTTCCTTCATTTTGAATCTTTAGAAATGGTTTGAGGAAAATTAGGATTAGCTCTTATTTAAAAGTTTCATAGATTTCAGAGATGATGCCGTCTGGATACAGGCTTTTCTTTGTTAGGAGACCATTTATTACTGATTCAATCTCATCACTTGCTATTCGGCCTCAGGACTTCTATTTCACCCTGATTCAGCCTAGTTAACATGTACATATTTGGAAATTTGTCAAACCTTTTCTAGTTTGTTGGCATATAGTCGCTCATAGTACCTCTCAAGTATTTTTGTACTTCTGAAATATCAGTTGTATATTACCATCTTCATTACTGATTTTATCTATTTGGTTTCTTTGTTTTTCTTGATCAGTCTAGCTAATGGATTATCAATTTTTTTTATCCTCACAAACAAGCAGCTTTTGTTCTCATTCATTTATTTTGTATATTTCTTTTATTCTGTTTCTTTTATTTCACCTCTAATCTTTACTATTTCTTTTCTTCTTTTATTTGTGGGTGTTTTGTTGTCATTGCTGTTGTTTTTCCAGTCCTTAAGATTCAGTGCTCGCTTATTTATTTGACACCTTTCTATTTTTTTCCCTTGTGAGTACTAATAGCCATGAACTTCCCTCTTGTGATTGACTTTGCTGTGTCTGAAAGGTTATGGAGAATTGTGTGTTTATTATTGTTGGTATCAATGAATCTTTTTCTTTCAGTCTTAATTCCTTCAGTAGTTTCAGAGTCATTCAGGAATACGTTGTTTAGTTTTCACGTTTTTGTGTATTTTTGAGGGCTCTTTCTGTGGTTGAGTTCAAGTTTAATTCCATTGTATTATGGGAAGATGCTGGATATAGTTTCTATACTATTAAATAAATAGAGGCTTATTTGATAATGTTCCATGAGGACATGAGAAAAAAAGTGTACTTTGTACTTGCTTGGTGGAATGCTCCATGGATGTCTGTCAGGTCCATTTGGTTTATGGTGTCAATTAGTTCCTCTTTGTTTATTTTTTGTCTAGATAATCATTTCAGTGGTGATAGTGGGATGCTAAAAGCCCCAACAATTAGTGTGTGGCAGTGTATATCTCCCTTTAGATGTAATAGTATTCTTTTTATATATTTGGGTGTCCTGGCATTAGGTACATAGATATTTATGATGGCTATGTCTTCTTGATAAATTCATCCTTTTAGAAATATGTAGTGTCCCTATTTGTCTCTTTCTACCTATTGATCCTTAAGCCTGTTTTATCTGATTATTATAGTGACCCCTGTCATTTTTTTCATTTCTGTTTTCAAGGAAGGACATTTTGCAGCCCTTCACTTCCAGTCTATGAATATCTCTTTCAAAGAGATGTGTTTCTTGTAAGCTGCACATAGAGGGTTCCAGGTTTTTTACCCATTGCACAAATCTGTGTCTTTTAGTTGGGGAAGTTAATCCATTAACACTCAAGGTTATTATCGATACGTGTGGCTTAGCCCTGTCATTTACTCTTTTTTTTTTATTTCTTACTTGTTTTGAGTTCACTTCCTTCTATTTATCTCTTTTTAGTGATTCAGAAGGGCTAGCCTACTTCTGGTAAATTTTTTCAGTTTTCTGAGAATGATTTTATTTCTCCTTGACATTTGAAGGACTATCTTGCCATGTGTAGTACTCTTGGCTGAAACTGTATTTGAGAATTTCAAATATTTCTTCCCATTTTTCCTTGCCTGCATTGTTTTAGTTGAGAGGTCCTATGTTAGACTGATGTGGACACCTTTGTAAGTAATTTGGAGTTTCTCTTTTGTCAGTTTTTGTCAGATTGTTGTTTTTAGCTTTCATGTTTACCAGTTTGGATCTGATATACCTTGGAGAGGATCTTCTTATATTAAATCTATTTGGTGTTCTTTGTATTTCTTAGAGTTGGACATCTCTATGCCTATGTTTGTAAAGTTTTCAACTAATACGTTATGAAAGAGATTAAGAAAGATAAGCCTCTACCCATCTCTTTACCTTCTGGAATACCCTATATGTGAATATTTGGCTGTTGAATCACGAGTAGGATTTGCAGTACAATGTCATCAATTTCAGTGGTAATTTTTACAGTATTCTTGTTGCTTTAACTAAGTCAGAAGTTTTGTTATTGCAGTCAGAGATTCTTCCTTATGCATGTTAATACATTTGAGAGAGGTTTTCTCCATTGTGTTCTGTAATTCCAGAAGTTCTGTTTGATTCTGTTTCAGGATGTCTATCTCTTCATGTACTTCTTCCTTCAAGTCATGGAAAGACTTTCTCATCTTCTGACATTGATTGTATGTTTCTTAAACTACATTGAGTTTGGTTATAAATATTGAGAGTTCTTTTTCTGACATTTCTGTGATTTTCTGTGCTTTACCCTTTGTTGATATGGAGTTACTGTGCTCCTTTGGAGGAAGTATTTCCTTCTTTTCTCGTATTTCCTGAGGCTCAGCTGTGGTTTTTAGACAATGGCAGTGAATGAACTTCTTTCTACTTCTTTGGAATAGTCTTCTATGACTATTGCATGTGTGCTTCCTTGTAATGTGAATTAGTTCTGTGCTGATATTCTTCTTCAACTGTGGGTGGCAGTAAGGTATACTAAAGGAATTAAAAAATGAAATAAAGTTAGTGAAGAGTACTATTGACACTGATTTAGAAAACTAAATAAAAGATGCGACCAGCAGTTGGTGTAATGGCTATGTCGCTGGACTCCCATGTAGTTGACTATGGGTTGAGTCCGGGGCCTGGTGACTTAAACTCATTCCAGATGCATGTGCATGTGTGCCCAAGATCCTGAGAGGAGAATGTAGGAGAAAAGATTGCATCATGGTCATCCTACTGGAGGGGGTGACCTCTCCCTTTCTGTCTCACTGTCTCTCTCTTTCTGGCAAGTGCACATGTCTTATAGCAAAAACCTCTAAAAAAAAAAAAAAAGAAAACTAAATAAAAGAATTTTCCCACAAAGCATTGCATTAAAAAAAAATAAGAAGAAAACAGTTAAAGAGGAAAAATAAACAGAGAAAGTATTGATTCAGGAGATAAAACATTGGTAACTAATTTCACATGCAGAGTAGGAAGAAATAAATATCAAAATATTGCAAAGAAAATCCCCAGGGGTGAAGACCAATCTCTGAAAATATTGGGTCAGAGGAAAAGTCATGATGCCTTTTTACATAGAAAAACACATCATGGCTTTTCCAATGACCTTATTAGTATCACAGAAAGAAACTGGAAAAATAGGTAAATGCCATGAAATTGAGGCTCTAAAGTGTATCACATTAACTAATTGTACTGTGTCATTATGACAACCTAGTTATAGGTGGGGTGATAAAAAATATTTCCAGGAAGAAATAAGGCATTTTTTCTAGAATGAAACATTCTAGAAAAGGAAAAACACATGAGAAAAGTTGTAGAGACATGAAATAGCATCCCTAATTGAAGGAACTGGGGATGCATTTTATCTTTTCAAACTCCAAACTTGCTCTTTGTGGCCACTTTTCCTTTAATATACCCCAGAGAGAGTAGTAAACACAGAATATCTGAGTTCACCTATGGTCTTCAATGCCCAGACCTCCCTGATAACAGCCAGAGTCGGAGATTCTAGGACAATGCTGCAGGCCTGAGCGGGCAGAGGCTCAACTCTCTGTCTTCAGTGCATACCCCAGTGTGTATTCTCCTCGCATATTTCAAGTGTAAACAGAAATAACCTTTAAATTATCTAACAATTTAGCTAAATATTACTCACATAGGTACACACAACATGAATGTTTGAGTTTGGGCTATAATAATACTAGGAATCATTGACCATCTCTATTTGGGTATATAGTCACTGCCAACACATATTCACACATGGACACACACAACAGCCCAAAGGGAGGAAAGAGTAATAATTTAACCAACAAATTATAAAACCAATACAACTGATCTGAATTCTAATACCTGCACTGATTCTGTGGACACATTCCTTTAAATTAATTCCTTTAAATCACATTGTCCAGTCACAAGTTTTATGTTTTATAAATAAGACACTACAAGCTCCTACTGTGCCCATCCTGCTGGGCTTAAGTCCCATAGAAGAAAAGGGATAGGTTGACCAATGTCAGCCAAGCAAAACGTTGGCTGCCCGGGGGGGGGGGGGGGGGGGCACCGCACCAGCGG